TTAGGGCTCCTTATCACTACCTTTACTAGGAGAGTATCTGACCAGAGGGTAAGTCACATCTTCTGGTTCTAACCCATCCAGGTGAGAAGGCAGCAGGTCTTACCCACTCATCTCAATAAACTCACGCTGCCTCAGTTACTATTACCATCCAACTAGCCAAGGGTCCTGGTGGCCATCGATAAGCCAAGTCCCAAGCACAATCAATTTGCCATGAACATACATCTGCCAGGTCAGCAATAAAATGGTGCCCGGCCACATGGCAAATTCAGAATGCAGAAGCCAGCACCAGAGCTGGAGGTGCCCTGATTCTTGGTCAGGGATGTGGAGAAGGCATCATGGCAGCCAGGTCTAAAGCTTTCCAAATTAGGTCAGGCTCTTCTGATCCTCTAGCAACAGAAACCTTGTTTGCATAAATAAAAATTCAGGAAGTCGCTGAGCTACACCCCTCTCCCCCCGCCCCTGCTGTTCTGCAGTCAGTGCGGAAACCAGCAAGCCTCCCAATATCTAATGCTCCTAGTGAGCAGATGCTCTTTGTGTATTCCATCCAGAGAGAAGTTTATCTCTCAGACAGTGGCATGTTAACGGAAGAAGTAACCTAAGAGGCAAACTGAACCTCTTGGGGAAGAGTCAGGCTGTGCCAGGGCAGTTTTGATTTCTGCTCCCGGTGAGCCAGCGGATTGGGTTTTATGTGGACAGGCAGCTGCAGTGGCGTTGGATGGGCAGAAGCACACATGCACCAGGCGGCGGCGGCAGGGATGGAGCAGAGCTACTGGAAATGAAAACACTGAGGGTCGAAACACGTTGAGACTGTGTCCAGAACAACAATGAGGAAGGGGAGATTTCTGTTTCATTCTTCGCTTTGTTGCGCATGCTGGAAACTGGACTTCTTCTCCGATTCCCTCCCTCAGAGAATCGTGTGCAGAATTCCCCCTTTGGAAAGACACATTCCTTCTCCAAGTGCCGGGCCTGTGTTTTTGTTTTCTTCTAACCAGACAGCTTAATTTCAGGAAATATTTTCTTTGTCTCTGTTACCAGAGTTCAGAAATTTGAGATTACCAGAGCTGTGTTTGGCATTTAGTGAAATATAGTAATAATGTTCCCTCGCACCAGAATAGTCTAGTTGTCTGCTTCATGAATTGAATTTTTCACTACCGCTCTTTCCCTTCACGTGTACATTTCTGCATTGCTCAGGGCTGGGTGCCGAGTGTAATTGTTCCCTGTGAAACCACTGTTTCCTTATCAGTGGTTCCTTCTGGATCATTTAAAATAACTATTTGTTTACACTTTGGTCTCAGGTCAAATGTTTCATTTCTTTAAGTGAACTTTGCTTCAGATCGTCATCACTGCGAAAACTTGGGGTGGTATTTCCAATCTGGGCTCAAACTGAGTGTCCTAGAATGAAATCTCAGCCTGTTAAGAGAATTTCTAGAGCCGTGTTGTCCGATATGATAGCCATAGCCACAGATGGCTATTTAAATTTAAACTCTTTAAAATGGAGCAAAGTTAAACGTGTCTTTCCTCATTATGTGGCCACATTTCAAGTGCTGAATAGCCACAGGTGGCTAGGACGTGTCCACCACCACACACAGTTCTGTTGGGCAGATTTTATCTGGTTAATGTCTTTAAATTCCTCTTTGGGACCTTTGAGAGCTGGGCCATCAGAAACCCCAATGTTTGGAGGTACATGAATTTCCTCCCATGGTTCAGCAAATATCTAGTCAAGTTCTTAATGGTGTTTAGGGAGTGTCTAGACCAGTGGTTCTCAACCTTCCTAATGCCGTGACCCTTTCATACAGTTCCTCATGTTGTGGTGACCCCCAACCATAAAATTATTTTTGTGGCTACTTCATAACTGTAATTTTGCTACTGTTATGAATTGTAATGTAAATATCTGATATGCAGGATGTATTTTCATTGTTACAAATTGAACATAATTAAAGCATAGTGATTAATCACAAAAACAATATGTAATTATATATGTGTTTTCCGATGGTCTTAAGCTACCCCTGTGAAAGGGTTGTTTGACCCCCAAAGGGGTTGCGACCCACAG